TGGGTATTCTGTAAAACCCGAACCCGTACCCGAATTTTAAAATACCCGAAAGGTTTTTTTTTGCAAAAATTGGTTTAATGAAGGGTTTTTTTGCAATTTGGCTACTTCGAGGGTTTTTTTGCACAAACCCACTGACGGAGTTAACGGCTGCCACGTCATCGATACACGCGAGGGCTATATTGCGGGTGACTTTTGAGATGGCGGTATTGACTTGCATTTATTTGAGATGGAGGGTTTTCTTGCAAAAATTGGCTACTTCGAGGGTTTTTTTGCACAAAACCCTAAAAAAAATTATATGCTCATGTTGTACCTTAAAGATAGGGTTTAAATTTAGTAGTTAATATATATATTCGATACTTATCAATGAGACAAGTCATGTTTTGCTTATGGAACGTAGGTTGCTGCATTCACGAATAATATAAATGACCATAATGTTAGCTAAATGAGAAGGGACACGGAACTTAAACCTCCAGCCAATTTCATAAAATTTAAAATTCTTAGAAAATAAATTCTACATAAATTTTAATTAATAAATTGAATATTAATTATGGTTAAGGAACATATATTCTCACGCAGACATGTGCAGGTAATGTATAAGAGAAATATGGTGCCGTAAAACTCAATGTGTTTATTTTTTTATTAAGAATAATTCAAGTTTTGATAATTAGATGTAGTTTTTTACAAGAAAACAAGACAGCGATCGAAGTGGAGAACATGGAGGAGATCAAATTCAGAATAATTAAAATGCAATGTAAATAAACGTAACGAGTTAACTTGAATCTCCATGCAAGTCCCATGCACTCAAACCCTTGTATATAAACCCCTCCAAGTTCATCGTTTAATCATCACCAAAATAAGCCCATCAATAAAGAAAATACAAACTCAGCCATGGCAATTACAAAAGCTCACTACTCTTTAGCAGTTCTTGTCGTTCTCTTTGTCGTTTCGAGTAGCCAAAAAGTCTGCAATCCAGAATGCAAGGCCAAAGAACCCTTCCACTGCGACAATACTCATGCATTCAACCGAACTGGATTTCCCAAAAATTTCACTTTTGGTGCAGCTACTTCGGCATATCAAGTATATATATCTTGGCTTTTGGGGATCGATTTTTATAGCTATATATAGGATTTTTCATATTTTTTTTCTTACAATATATATATCCAACATGACTTAATTTGTTCTACCAGATTGAAGGTGCAGCACATAGAGCACTTAATGGATGGGACTACTTCACTCATAGATATCCAGGTCATAAACATCATTTAACATATGATTTATTCCCATGATCTTCGATGTATGAGAAAATCGTACCTATAGATGCTAAAAAGATTTATTGATGGTCATGATTTTTGTTATTTATATACAGAAAAAGTACCGGATCGCAGTTCAGGAGACCTTGCTTGTGATTCGTATGATCTTTATAAGGTAAGAAGAGGCTATCACTATTGATGAATGTGTAGATATGATATTTTTTCAGTTTTGTAATTTCAATTTAATTTTACAACTTTCGTTTAACCTTGAACAGGATGATGTCAAACTACTAAAAAGAATGAATGTTCAAGCATACCGACTCTCGATAGCATGGTCAAGGGTCTTACCAAGTAAATACAAAAACCAGAAAAACACTTCTCCTAGTCTTCATGCATGATTCATCTTATTAACAAAAGAAATCAGTTAAATTTTACATTCAATGACCGCGAATTTTGTGATTTTTATATACTAATCTTAGAGGGAAGACTGATTGGGGGAGTGGACGAGAATGGGATAACATACTACAACAATCTCATTAACGAGTTGAAAGCAAATAGTAAATTCCAAATTCAGTACTTAATCATACATTTTAAATTATTTTATTGTATTTGTCGTATAAACATTTAACTTACGTGAATACAGGCATAGAACCATATGTGACTATTTTTCATTGGGATGTTCCCCAGACTTTAGAAGACGAATATGGAGGCTTCTTAAGCCCACGTATAGTGTAAGTGCATTAACGATTTTGATTCAAAACTCTCTTTTTTCTTTTTCTTTGCTTTAGGTTATGTAACATCGCTATCAAATCTGTGTATGCCTAATATGTGCGATACGTGAACGTGAATAGGGAGGATTACACAAACTACGCTGAGCTTCTATTCCAAAGGTTCGGAGACAGGGTCAAATTTTGGATCACTTTAAATCAGCCTTTCTCTCTTGCAACCAAAGGTTATGGAGATGGATCGTATCCACCAGGACGGTGCACCGGCTGTGAATTTGGAGGAGATTCTGGAGTTGAACCTTATACAGTTGCACATTACCAACTTCTAGCTCATGCGAAAGCTGTATCTCTATACAGAAAAAGATATCAGGTACGTATACTGTAAAATCTCTAATAATTTTTTTGTGCGTCAATTTTACTTTTATGTGGTACATATTTGTAGTCTATAACCTAAAAATATTTATGCAGAAATTCCAAGGTGGTAAGATAGGAACAACCTTGATCGGGAGATGGTTCGCCCCGCTAAACGAATTTAGCGAACTCGACAAAGCTGCTGCAAAACGAGCATTTGATTTTTTTGTTGGATGGTATATATGTTCACTTAAATGATTCTCAAAACACACACACATTTATATAGAAAGTTTTAGTTAGAAAGATTTTGTTAAAAGCACACACCTTAATTTGCAACACTAATTTATGAATCTTTTCTTACATGAATTAAGGTTCTTGGATCCATTGGTGTACGGAAAATATCCAAAGATAATGAGAGAGATGGTAGGAGATAGATTGCCAGAATTCACACCTGAGGAATCAGCTTTAGTTAAAGGATCACTTGATTTTCTAGGGTTGAACTATTACGTTACACAATATGCAACCGACGCACCTGCTCCGACACAACCTAGTGCAATAACCGATCCACGAGTTACTCTTGGATGTAAGTAAAACTTTTTTTCGTATTTTTTTGTGTGTATTTTTTTTTATATTTTAAGTATATATCCATACTCATTATTCCTTTATTTCGTTTCAGTTTACCGCAATGGAGTTCCTATTGGTGTTGTGGCAAGTATCGACTTAAATTTGAAAAAATCCTTTTCATAGTTAAAAGATTACTAATTTGACTCTATTTTTCCTTTCTTCTACAGGCTCCTAGCTTCGTCTACTATCCTCCAGGATTCCGTCAGATTCTAAACTACATCAAAGACAACTACAAAAATCCACTTACCTACATCACCGAAAACGGTATGTACATATCATTTTATGTTGCATTTAGATATGTTTAACCAATGAAAAATCGATCTAGATATGTGTTTATTATAAATCTTATGTTAAAATTTCAGGAGTTGCTGATCTTGATCTTGGAAACGTAACGCTTGCAACTGCTCTTGCCGATAATGGACGAATTCAAAACCATTGCAGCCATCTCTCTTGTCTCAAATGCGCCATGAAGTGAGTTATAATTCCTGTTTTATTTATTTTATATACTTTCTTCGGACAATTATAAATGTTAATACACCAAAACTACTTTTCGAAAAATTTATTATAGGGATGGATGCAACGTAGCAGGATATTTTGCATGGTCATTGATGGACAATTACGAATTCGGAAATGGTTACACTCTCCGGTTTGGTATGAATTGGGTCAACTTCACTAATCCTTCTGATCGAAAAGAAAAAGCTTCTGGAAAATGGTTCTCTAGGTTCCTCGCAAAATAAGTGGAAAATGGAAAATGGTTACACTCTCCGGTTTGATATATATCCAAACCTCAAATGTAATAACAATTGTACTGTATGTATTATTATTATTATTTTAAGACTACCTAAACCTTATGTGTTGTGTGTATGTTGTTAATAATGTTGTGATAATCGGATCTTAATTCGGGGTCAGTTCATAAATAAATAAAAATGTATATGAAGTTTGTATTGTTCTTGTTCTATACTGTTGCTAAGTATAACATCTCAAAAATCTTTCAACGTTTTACAGTTTGACACCATCGACATGTATGAATAACAAAAGCTCTAAGCCAAGGTGTAACTGTGTAATAATCAAAAATTTTAACGTGTTATAATTTAAACCTAAGAAATCATTATTTGAAAGAATATATTAGTCTTAATCATGTGATATGAGCCCTAGCTATAACAATTTTGAAAAACATTTCTACGGCGATGAACCGCAGCGAACAATCCTAATGTCCAATGTTTTCAATTCTATTTACTCTCTTCAGGTGTCGGGCTTCCTTAATTGCCTTATATTGCCATCTACTTTCATTAGTGTGATTAATACAAAAGACACCAAAAATCGGTACGTCTTGGTTAAATTCAGTTCTCAAAAACTACTAAAAGTGTGACCTTGATTCTTGTGAATTCGATACCCTTGGATATAATTGTGCTCTTACGGACTAGCATATTGAGTTAAAACTTGATTGCATCAGTCTCCGCAATCAATTGTACACGGAAATTATAATTTTGATGTTTAATTACTCTCCAAAATTTTTACCCACGACTATGTCGCCATCATCTTGTCAATAACAACTTAGAAATTTACCTAAAAGAAATCTTCAATATTTTTTACCATTTAGAAAGAAAAAAACAATCCCAAATCTTTGTAAACTTCGAGAATATCAATCAAGAGAGGAAAATATATGCTTTTACAAACTCTTCCCAAGATTATTATTTAGTTTGGTTTACCAAAAATTTAGTTTTCTCTAAATTAGTACTAACACACATAGAATATATAAAAAAAATTATATGCTCATGTTTTACCTTAAAGATAGGGTTTAAATTTCATAATTAATTGGGAAGCACTCAATCATAAATAACCTTATAAAGTGTAAAGTTTTACAAAAATGCCATTGTTTTTTGTTGTTAAATAAATTCATTAAAGATACAATATTAATCACAAAATAATATATTTAAATAAAAATAGGAAAATTCTTTAAAGTAATTATTAGTTTCTAAAAAATTAAACTCACTTTCTCTCTCATATTAATTATGGACGAAAATTTAATTTTTTTTCTAAAAAGTTGTTAACCAATGAGAATTGAAAAAATAAGATTTGATATCCAACTAAAATTTTATCTAAACCAATCCAAATAAACTATTCTATATCAAAAATAAAAAGAAAAATAATACCATTTTAATTCAAAATAAAAACACTATCGTTTAAAAAGTTTTATCAATGGAGGATTTTAATATTGAATTTGAAATTTCGTAAAAAAATTAAATACAGATATTTAAGACTCAGTTTTGTTATAATATTTTCACAAATTTTGAAATGTAAAACAAAATTTTATTTCACAATTTCTAAAAAAACGATATTAGATATTAACAAATATTTATATTTACTATGAAATAAACTCAAATAATGATAAATTTAAAGTAATTATCGTTATGGCCTCCGTTTAGAGCAAGTTTCGGAAATATCTAAACAAAAGATTGTACATATTAATTTCGAAATATTTTGTTTTTTTGTTTTTTCTTCTCAACCGGATCTTCCTTAAACAAATCTATAATATATTGCACACAGTTTTCGAAATAATGTGAACTAATTATATATTTTGCATTCAAAACAAATTATGCAGCAATAACATATCCCTTTTATAGATGTATCTCAAATTTTAATTTTAGTCCCAAAAATCGAATTAATTATGATTAAACAATGAAAAGAAAAATATGCAAAATTTAGCTAGAAACATTAATAAATTTGTTTAAATATATTTATAACTTTAACAGTATACATATTAATCCGCAAAACTCACAATATATATTGTAATATTGTATGGTATTTAAAAGTAAGTAAACAAGAATTTGGAATATGATTTTAATGGAATAAAATGGAAATAGAAATTACGAGACGAGATGAGAGGGGAACATATATTAAAAATCAAACTAAATACCCAACTGGCATGAGTTCGGGTTATGAGCACTGTATAAAATAAATTTGTTTACATACGTAACCTACGTAACCCTGTATATACGTTTTCAGTTACACATACTCTATTTATGACAGATATGGGACCATAATATTTTTATTTTACGTATACGTGACAGATTATGGGACAAAGAATTTATGACATATACCGGACGGGATATTTTTATGTTACAAAATAGTTACGCCTAGCTAATATACATGAAATAACCCAAACTAAAACCGAAGTCATATCCTATTTAACATATGTAATCAAACTGTTAGAACTGTTTTGATTAGTTAAGAAAATAAAAATGTAACACCATTTAACTTTTACAACTAAATTAGTCCGGATCTTAAAATATAATTATGCATTAACGCAACTGAATTTTGTTCATTACTCTAACTTTATAATATTTATACTATTACGAAGTTCACTAACACAACAAAATATTTTATATTTTTAAAATCTATATAAAAATTTCTATAAAAATATCTCTACACGTATGTGGATCCAGATCTAATACACTAAAATATATATCATAAAAAGTTATAAACAACAAAATAATTTATACTGAATTAAAATTTGTTAGAAATTTTTTAAAATATGAAATCTCGCACGTATGTGCGGGTCATGATCTAGTATATATATATTTGATAATTATCAATGAGACAAGTCATGTTTTGCTTATGGAACGTAGGTTGCTATTGAATTAAGAACTAAGGATCAAAACCTAATGATCAAGACTTTGTGTTTATAAGAACAACTCTTCTTATTACCTTTGAAACTTACTCAAAACAAAGGTTACACAATCTCTCTTAATCTCAAAACAACTCATAGGGTTACCACAATCTAGGTACCTCTATTTATACAAAACCAAAAGTCCTAAACACACTAGGATTTGATAACTCCTAACCTAGCTAAATCTTATCCCAAATCTATTAACTAAACCGACTTATTTAGTTTAATCTTGGGCCTCAAGTCTTTAAGGTTTATCAAGTTTGCACAACATTCTCCCCTTCAAACTTGATATCTCCAATCTTCACATCATGAACACCTATAAGTTCCCTCATTTCTTTGAACTTAATCCGTCCCAATGCCTTAGTCAAAATGTCTGCCTTTTGTGCATCCCCGGGAACATGTTCTAGCTCAACTTGATCATTCTCAACACATTCCCTAATAAAATGATACCTTTTATGAATATGTTTACTTCTGCCGTGAAACACAGGATTCTTGGCAAGTGCTATAGCGGATTTGTTATCTATCCGGAGTAACACCTTGTCACATGTTTCTCCCATAACCTCACTCAGAAGATCCTGCAACCATATCGCCTGTTTTGCTGCTTCTGTTGCAGCCATGAACTCTGCTTCGCAAGATGATAAGGCTACTGTGTTCTGTTTCTGCGTACACCATGTAATGGGACAATTATGTAGATAGAAAATGTGGCCTGTAGTACTTCTACCATCGTCCTCATCTACATTATGACTGCTATCACTATAGCCTAGGAGTCTTGTTTCAGGTTTAGGTTCTGTCTTTCTAGCAAATGTTAAACCATAACCTGTTGTTCCTTTCAAATATCTGAGAATTTGCTTGAGTGCTGTACCATGAGATTCTTTGGGCTCATGCATGTATCTGCTTAATACACCAACACAAAAGGAGAGATCTGGCCTAGTATGTAGCAAGTATCTCAAACATCCAATACTTCTCCTATACTCTGTTTCATCAATATTTTTTTCCTCTGATGCCTTGCTCAGTTTCAGATTTGCATTCATTGGTGAGTGAACCGCATTACATCCTTCCATTCTGGTTTCACTTAGTATCTTAGATGCATACCTCTCTTGTTTCAGAGTAATGCCTCCTGCATGTTGATGTACTTCTATACCTAGATAATAGGTCAATTTTCCCAAATCGCTCATTTCAAACTTTGTTGCCATGCCCCTTTTAAACTCAAGTATCACATCCAAGTTTGAACCCGTGATTAACAGATCATCTACATACACAACAACAATGAGAAGATGATCTTTATCCTGTTTATGGTATAAGGATGGTTCTTTAGAACATTTGATAAACTTCAATTCCTTAAGAATAGAGTTTAGCTTATTGTTCCAAGCTCTCGGAGCTTGTTTTAAACCATATAGGGCCTTATGTAATTTGTAAACCTTGGTTTCACTCCCTTTTATCTCAAATCCCTCTGGCTGCACAACAAACACAACTTCTTTTAACTCTCCATGGAGAAATGCAGTCTTTACATCTAAGTGATGAACCTCCCATCCATTTGACGCAGCTAAAGCGAGGATAAACCTAATAGTCTCAATGCGTGCTACTGGTGCAAACACTTCTTCAAAATCAACTCCATACCTTTGAACATATCCTTTTGCCACAAGACGTGCCTTGTATTTGTTTATGCTTCCATCAGAGTTGCGTTTTATTTTAAAAACCCATTTCAGACCAATTGCTTTTGCTCCCTTTGGAAGATCTACTAGACTCCAAGTTTTGTTCTTGTTTATTGAACTGATTTCTTCATCACAAGCATCTCTCCATTCTTTTAACTCCTTTGCTTCTTTATAATCCCATGGTTCTTCATTTAATGTTAGCAAGAGATGCTCAATTATTTCATATTCAGCTTCAGCTAAGAGTACATAGTCATTTAGATACCCTGGTTTATGGCTCTGTCTCTCAGATCGTCTTAGGGGTGGTTGCATTGGGGCCTGTTCTTGGTTTTCAGTTTCTTCTAAAGATGTTTCTGAAGTATTTTCAGAGAAGTCATTCTCATTATCCAAGGCTTCATTAGTATTTTCATTTTCTTCTTCTCCTGTTTCTTCTGTTCTGTTTTCTGTTTCTGAAGCTTCTTCTCTTAGACCATGATTTCCGTATTCTCCAAGTCTGAGTTTGAACATTCCAGGAACATTATCACTCTCATCTTTTCCTGAATGATTCCAATTCCAACTTCTTTTCTCATCAAAGACTACGTCTCTACTTACCATAATTCTTCTTTTTGCTGGATCCAACAATCTATATGCTTTGGATCC